ACCACACAGTGGCCGTGGTCGTACCTGCTGGCCTAGCTCAGTTGGTACAGGTACACCCCTGAACGAACTGTTGAAATACAGACCTGAGTTCGAACTCCACTTGAAACAGGTCAGCAGAATACCACAGCGGCCCGGAATCTCCCAACATCAATTCGTTTGACTTACAACTGCACACAGCGGCCTTGGATCTCTTTTCTTTTTTTTTCTTAAAAAAAAAAAAAAAAAAAAAGCGGCCTTGGATCTACCGACGCCAATGGGGAGAAAAAAGCATGTCCTTATGTTTTTATCATCTCCCTTTTTCTCCTGCCCGCGGAGGCGGAGGTGAGCCCAGCTGCTGCTCCCCGAAATGGAAAGTGGATGGGAGTTTTATCAAATACGCAAAAGCTATCATTCGTAGATTGCCCCAGCTCACTGAACCGGGAACCATCCATTGGTTGAGCGCTGTGCATAGGATTTCTTTCCTTCTCTGCTCGTTTTTTTTTTTTTTTTTTTTTTTTAAATTTATTTATTTATTTATTTATTTATTTATTTATTTATTTAAGCCCTTGTGCAAAGCCTCTATCCCGGTAGTGGCAATAGAACCACCGAGATTGTGGCTTTGACTACCGGGCTGCTCCATCTATTGGTGGGGAGCCTCACCTGCTGAATTACGTAATCAATCAATCAATGAATCAATCAATCAGTCAATCAGTCAATCGCCAGCGATCTTACAATGAATCCATGTTTGCACCTTTCCTTTTTGTCAGGCACGCTATTTTGTCCGCGGTCTACAAATCCTTAAAAGGTTATGGAGTTTCTGAAACAGAATGCTTTTTCTTTTTGAGTAGAGATGGAACGGTTGATTTTTTTCATGTGGGAATACGGGCTAGCAGATTATGGCAATAGATTCATCACACTGTGTGTCGTGAACATGTACTGTGTAGCAGTGTGCAGTCCGGCCTTGTTTTGTAGAGTAAAAAAAAAAAAAAAAAAAAAAAACAATGTTGGGAGAAGTGGTGTGTTTGTTCTATCGATTGGACTCCTTGTGTATGGGGTGTTGAAACTGGTTTCCACCAGGTGCTGCTCCCCACTGATAGATCGGAGCAAATCTGGAAGAAAAAAGGAGACGCACACAACCTCCTGATGGGTTGGTGAAAGTCCGACGAAAGTAGTGTGTATAGCGAAGCGAATATGACAACACACACACACACACACACACACACACACACAGAGCCAGTTTTAGATATGTCTGTCTTTCTCCTGTTTGTTCTCTCTGATCTTTTTTATATTTCTTGTCTGCCCAACCGAGCACCTTTAAGCAGTGCCAAATAGTCGGCCATTCTCGGTTTGGAGTGCCTGCAGCACTCTTAGGGGGGGCTCTCAGTTCAGGATGTCTGTCTGCCTTACGGGTGATGATGGATGTTCGCCGGAGCGGCTCCCTGGCTCAGTGGGTGGTGGGTGGGAACCAACAGTCTACCAGGTTGACCCGTTATGTGAGTAAGTGATTTGCGACTTTGCTCAGTTTCGAATGTGTGGACTGCCTCGTCTGCGCTCCGCCGCTGCTTTGCTGCCGGTCCCGCTTGCTTCGCGCGTCGTTCATTGCCGGTTGCTGTCTCCTCTGCGTTGTGTGGCTGTGGTGCTGGCATTGCCCTGTCCTTCACTGCATTGCTGCTTTTCTGCCCATTCGCATGCCGTGCCTTCCGTGTTCCTTGCTTGTGTGCCGTGTAGTGTGGATGATGTGTTGGTGTTGCCTTGTTCTTCGCTACACGCTGTTGCCATGCTACTCCGTCCGCTTGCCCTGCCGTTCCTCGGAGTAGTCTTTGGCGTTGTTCAGTTGGACTGCTCGGCCAGCGTTGCCTGGTGCTTCGTCGAGTTGTTGCCCGTTGCGACGAGTGTAGCTACTGTGCGGTTGCCATGCCGCTTGTCCACTTGACATGTAGGTCCTTGCAGTAGTCTTTGGCGGTGTGCGGCCGGTTGGGTTGCTTCCGCAGCGTTGCCTGGTGCTTCATTCGGTTCGTGCCTGCTGCTACGTGTGTTGCTGCCGTGTTGGCGTTGCCTTGCGCTTCACTGCACGGTTGCCGTACTGCCATGTCGTTCCTTGCAGTAGTCTTCCGCATTGTGCCGTTTGCTTGCTTAGGGAGCATTGCCTGGTGCTTCGCTGAGTTGGTTCCTGCTGCTATGTTCCACTTGGTAATGTTCTGCCTTCAAGAAGGGCCAAAGGGTTCATGACCCAAACCATCGATACGGAGATTACGCAGATTGTCAGGACTCAGCCTCCTGATGAGTCGGTGCAAATCCGAGGAAACAATCTCCTAACGAGTCGGTGCAAATCCAACGAAACAATCT